AACATCCTCCACAACTAGACTGAAGAACAAAACGACAGCAACTTGTCTGTTCCCCTTCCCCCAATTCCCCAGCGCTGTTCCCATTCCCCAATTAAAATAAATAAAAAATAAGTGTCAAGACTCTACACGAAAATAACCCCTAGAAACTCCAAAGGAAGTTCTAAGAAAACACAACCATGATCAATAGAAAAGAAAGGAAGATCAAGGAGTCAGAGAAACACACAGAAAACAACTCTTACGCAATGAATGGGAACGAAAAGCTAAGGAAAAAGACTGTAAGCAAGCGAAGCCAAGTTTGGAATGGGAGCAACTGGAAAGAACCCAGCCTGAAAGAGCCACTGCCTCAAAAGGGTAAATGCATACGAAGTGCATCTGTTTCACTCCATTAGGGCCCAGAAGAAGCAACTCTGATTACGGGAGCACCCGTTCTCCGGACGTCAGGAGACGAGCACCATCGGTCCCAAATCTCCTCCATCCTGTCCTCCCTACTGCTGGAATACATAGAAATCAATGGCTGGCAGAGCCCCCGAGCTGCAGCAGTGCCTCGGTGGTATATGTGGTTGAACGCACTGTAGTTATTTACCCCCAAACTTCAGCAGCAAGAGTTAGACTCACCTCCACAGGCCCCAAGATGGCGGAAAAAGGAAGACAAGGCCCCGCAGCGTAGCCTTGTGGGAAAAATACCTCTTCACCCCGCCCCCAGCTTAGTAATCTTCCGCGATCGCCAAAAAAAAAAAAAAAAGCCTCAGAAATCGTCTTCTGACTGAAACAAGCCACATTCAAGAACATTCTTACAATTCTTTCCCTAAGTCCTTTCATCTTTGCAAGCTACGACGTGGATTATTTTTTAGACTAGAGGAAGGCAAAGTAGTAACCAACTGAAAGAGAACCAAAGGTCCCCCCAACTGAGCGTTACCATAGAAATACCTTAGCGTGCGAGTTCCTGCGAGTTCGGGCGTTGTAGGTGGAAAAAGTGAAGCCTGACTGGAGGACACACACCCCGTTTCGGGTACCCCAGATTTGATTCGCCAACGTGCGGGTATCTTGCCCTCTTACTACACGGGACTAGGGCAACGGAGACTCGGATTCTACCCTGGAAGAGAAAGGCCGGGAGCACGAAGGCAGGAGGAGCTTACTTCTCTTTACCTTCTCCCCCTGCCCCGCCCCTTACTCCTTTCCTTCTTCTACTCCTTTCTCTCTTTCCAGAAATGACTTAAGTTCTTACCTCCATCCTTTGTTTTGACTCCGAGGATAGGGAGGACTGCCCTGAAAAGGGCAAACTGACAGGCTGACGGTCTAGGCTCCCAGCACGATGCCCGCACGTTAATATGTCTTCAGTAATTACTTGTAGACTAGCATGCGATAGATTAATGGACGTCAGAGATTTACATTTCCTAATTATTGCACATTTATTTGGGTTATTCTATGGATTTATTCATTTATTCAACAGTTTATTGAAAGACTCCCATATACCAAGCTTTGTTCTTGGTTCGGAGGACACTGAACAAAACAACAGAAATCTCTGCCCTCATAGAACTTACATCTTAGTAGGGGGAGCAAAACAATAAGCAAGTAAAATATAAATATATGGCACATTAGAAGGTGATGTGAAAAAATTTTACTCTATGGAGAAAAATTAAGCACGAAGGACTGTAAAGGCGGCTTTAACTCTGGCATGGGAAGCCATTTGAGAGGAGCTACTCAATCTGACTCCCATTTTAACAGGGTCACTGTGTTGAGACTGAAGGGAAATTAGGGCACCAGCAGGGAAATCAATTAGGAGGCTATTGTAATCATCCCAATGGGAGACTATGGCATGTAGACAGGGGTGATGAGTACTGGAATTCTGAATATATTTTGAATGTAACGCGGACAGGATTTGCTGATAAATAAGCAATGAGAGAGGAAAGGATGACTCCGAAGTTTTATAAAATAGGTGTATATAAATCATATTTAAAGTCAGATCATCTCATAAATACATCAAGATAGAGTTTATGTACCTTTGTAGCCCACTGTCCCTATCCAATTTTCTCTGTCCCAGAAATATACTAGAAATCCCACTGTTAGAGAATGTACTCGCAATCTCACTATTAAATGTACTAGAAACCCAAAGGTAAGTACTCCTGAGAGGAATAACACATTGTGAATTTTGTTCCTTTGTTCATTCATTCATCCATTCTACTATTGAGAATACTTATTCTCATACTTATTGAGAATAGTGCCTGGAACTTGGGATACAATCAATAGTGAGCATCATCATGGTTTCTGATCTCATGGAACTTAACAGTCTAGTGGGGAAATTTTACATTAACATTGCAAATTATGAAGAGAGCTATGCAGGACAATAAGAGTGCAATGAGTGCTTGAACAGGGGGATCCTGATCCAGCCTAATGAGTCAGGGAAAGTGTCACTTGGCAGAAGTGTCATTTAAGACATTTTCCAAACTGCAGGTGATGGTGCATTAGGTCATGGTTATAATACTTCCTAAGCAAAATATGATAGAATTGAAAATAGAATGCCTCACATAAATTGTTTTATGAAACTTGTTATTTGCATATATATTGGGTTGTCGGAAAAGTCATGATGTATTTTTTCTATGTTTTTTGTTGCAAAAGTGCATCATGACTTTTCCAACAACCATATATATGTATATATATCATATAAAAATGTATGCATGTCGTTGTATCAGTCAGTGTTGCCCTGGAAGGAAACAGTTGGCAGAGTTGAGGAGAATTTAATAAGGAGTCTACTTACAAAAGTGTAGACACAAGTGAAACTGTAAAGGGATGATGCCCTCTCCAGGCACACGGGGAAGAAGTTACCAGAGCTCCCAGAGAGAGCAATGTGGAGAGGATTTCCTGACAGAACCCATGCATGGCCTTTGATAGAGAAACATAGCCAACCAGTGGTGATCTGGCAGGCAGGGTATTGGGAGAAGAAACACCTAACCTCACAATCCTACACTTTGGATCTCTTTTGGAATCTCCTATTGATGCACTCCATATGGGCCAGTCTCTTATGGCACAGAAAATGGTGGAGATTGGATCTAGAGGGGCGCATAGCAGATACCTAGCAAAAATGCCACTGATTTAAGCTGCTACCTGATGGATCAGTGGGATTTTACAAGGCAAAGAAGTGAGAGGAAGAGTTCAAATTGAAGGAATAGCATATGCAAAAACCCTGAGTTGGAAGGGAGCATGAGGCCATATGTCAGTTTTGACCAAGACCTACAAGGCAATCAAAAGCTTTATTTGGGGGTCTTTTTTAGGAATCGCAATCCAGGAGATACAGATTTGGTTTGAAACCGCAACTGTGTTCCAACAGGGAAAGAAAGGGACAGAGTCTGTAAAGACAGAAAAAGAGGGGCTCCCAAAGGGGTTACACAAATTATTTTGAAAGAGCTGTGATTGGTACTGACAAGCTGACTTACTTACTCTATGCTATACATGATTGCTTATATCTATTGCTAGATAGTTTATTTTTTAATAAGAGGGTTCAGTGATGCAGAGCCAGTTCCAGGAACTGTATCAGGACATAGCTGTTTGGTTTAGTCTAGTTCAAAAGTCAGTTTCACATGGAAGGGAATAAGTTAGCTCAGCTTCCCAGAGGACTCCTGGCTCCATTTTAGATTGCTTTCTTGGCAATATCAACTCCGTTTTGTTGTTTTTCTTTTATGTTGAACTAGAAGAAGTTCATTGTAAGAAAAAGGCAGTGCCAGAAGGATCTGGAGAGGAACAGAGAGTACCAGATCATGCAGGCCTTATGGGCAAAGTTAAGAATTTTAGTTTTTGTCCTAAGGCAATGGGAAACTCTAGAAGGGTTCTAAGGAGAGACATGATCAGATTTTCAATTTTAAAAGATCAGTCTTTCATTAAAAAAATCAAATCAAATCAAATCACTTCCGGGCCGGGCGAGTGGCGCAATGGTTAAGAACTGGCTTGGGATGCCAGAGGGCCCCAGTTCGGATCCCACATATGAGGGCTAGTGACACTGCCCTCTACAGCTAAGATGCTGAACAACAGCTCTACCTGGAGCTGGGCTGCTGTGAGGCGCCAGCAACGGAGTAAGCTGCAGCCCCTGTGGCAGTGGGTTGCCATGGGCTACCGTGTGTAGCCAGCAGCCAGCGTGAGTGGCCAGTAGCCAGTGTGAGCGGGCAGCAGCCACAGTGAGCAGCCGTCCAGAAGCCAGCGACTGATCTGCCTCGCCCAGGAAGAGCGCAATGATGGTGCCAACTTGATCCAGTGAAGCAACGTCCTCCATAACTAGACTGACGAACAAAAGCATAGCAACTTGTCTGTTCCCCTTCCCCCAATTCCCCAGCGCTGTTCCCATCCCCCCAATTCCCCAAGTTAAAAAAAAAATCACTTCCTATTTGGAGGCAATTAAAGTAGTTCAATAAAGAAACAACAGCTAGGGGAAGGGGGTTGTCACTTCGAGGGGTAAAAAGTATAACTATTGCACTGTGTTGTACAGCTGAAACTAATTCTAAAAAATGTGTATTTCATAATAAAAAAAAAGAGAAAAAAAAAAGAAAAGAAACAACAGCTAGGTCCAGCATGTTGTTAGGGGACATGGAAATAATAGATAAAATCCACAGGACTTGGTGATGGTTGGATTTTGGGGATGCTGATGTCAAAGTGAAGGAGGAAGCAGGAATGACTCCTGGGTTTCTAGCGTTGAAGAATAAGAAGCTAGAACAGCACGCAAGCATTGGATACTACGTAAGGATAGCCCTATCTTACCTATGTGAAGCATATTCACCTGTGCCCCAAGCTGAAAAAAATGGAAAAATAAACAACACAACAAAAGAACAAAACCTTAACACCATGCTACTTCCTTCTAAGACTGTCCTTGCACCAGAAAATTTGGATAGTTTGGAGTATGCTTTTTTCAGTTTATTACATAAGATTGTTTTATATGTTTGAATTTTTGCATATGAGATTTTTGTGTGTGAGACATATTTGTAACACTCCTCTCAGGATCACTTTATTGTGAACAAAATCACACTGGAAACCTACCATTCACTATTAATTCAGTATAGAGCAAAATTCTCCATAGAGAGTTTAAAACTCTTTTCAGCAGAAAGAACTTTGGTTTACCAAGATGGGGGAACATCTTGATAGCTGTATTAAACTGATTTTCTGGATATACAGGTTTTCTGACTGTAATATCAAGTGTTCTAAGTCTAGGTGGAATAAATTCTGTTATCTGATCGATCAGAGATATTTTAGTAATCAATAAAAAAAGTGCATCCACTATATAGAGATTACCAATTAAAAATCAGAATACAATAAAAAATATGAAAACAATGTTAGATATTAATTTACCTTAAGAATAGACTCAAAATTTGCATTTTTCTGCCAATAATTAAGCTGTTGACTTAACAGACCTGCACCACAAGATGGTTCTTCTTTCTCTAGGATTTCTCTAATAAGCAAAAAGAAGGGATAAGCTACAGCTCTTGTAATTCTGTAATTTTCTCTGAATGAAATGGCATAGAAATAACTTAAATGTTATTCAACACCCCTTTAAACTAATCTCAATGTTTTCTTCCCATTTTAGATGACTGCATTTTTGTGAGATTATAAATGTACCATGGAAGTTAACAAAACTAACTCAAGAAGAATGGAAGAGTATGTTCAAAATTCCAATTTATTTTGTATTTATTTAAATTATCCCTTAAATTTCTGTGTATTATTTCTCTATTGCTGTGTAATAAATTACCCCCAAAACTTAAAATATAAATATTATTTCACACAGTTTCTGTGGGTCAGGAATTTGGGAGTTTAGCTAAATGGTTCTGACTTGGGTTCTCTCATAAGGTTGAAGTTAGCCAGGGCTGCAGTCATCTGAAGACTTGACTGGGGCTGGAGGATCCGCTTCCAAGATGGCTCATTTACAGAGCTGGCAAGTTGATGCTGGCTGTTGGCAAAGAGGCCTTAGTTCCTTACCCTCATAAACCTCTCCACAGGGCTCCTTAAGTGTCCTCATGACACGGTAGCTGGCTTCCCACAGAGTGAGAAATATGAGAGAGTAAGGGAGAAGCTGCAATGTCTTTTATCACCTAGCCTTGGGACCAACAATATCCTTTTAGTTACATAGCTTAGTAAGTCCTATTTAATGTGGGGGGAGACTATAAAAGGGCATGAAGGTGAGAATCATCTGGGCCACCTTGGGGACTTACCACATTATGTTTTTCACTAATAATGAGATACTGTTGGTTAGCATCTAAAGATGTTGCTAGAAAAATTAATTTGGGCTCAAATTCAAATTGGTTAAGCATAGCCAAATTGTATGGTTTACATAACTTTATTAAACAGTAAGTGGTTTGCTTTTGGCCGGTCAAAAAGTCACTGAATGGTATTTAGCAGAATCACATGCAAACTCCTACTTTTTGTTCTTTATCTTGGTTATATTATATGACAATATGGACTTCACAGGAGCTAATCTACATGCTGTATGGTTTTAAACATTTTAATTAAACTATAGCTAATACAACATTATATTAGTTTCAGGTGTACATCATAGTTATTCAACAGTACCCACCTTGCACTATACATAGTAATTCATGCTGCGTGTTTTTGTTTGTTTGGTTTTTTTTTTGAGTTTAAGTAATTTTTAAACATTTGGTGGCTGAATTATTTTTTCTTTCTTTAGAGGCCAACTGGAAGCCTCAAATCTTCCTCCAAAGGCTTGGCATTCTGAGGTGACAGTGTCAGTGACAGGTGAACCACCTACTGTAGAAAAAGAAGAAACAGCCAAAGAAACAGACATAGAAATCATCCCGGAAGTCACAGAGCCACTCTCCATTCTAGATGTGCTGAGGATTTCCGCAGTTCTGGAGGATACCACAGACCAGCTCTCTATTCTCAAGTACATCATGCCAGCTCAGTATGAAATAAAACAAAGCACCAGCATGGTATATAAACTCACCATTATTTAATTTTTTTCCTTTTTATTTCTCCATCATTTACAGTACCCATGCTATTAAATTTAACATAGGAAATAGCACCTTTTCTCAGATAAAGGGCTATAATAATTACATGAGATATGGACTCTCAATTGATGGAGTGTATAATTCAAGGTACATTACCAGTCAGAATGTCCTTTTGTTCCAATCTGTTGGCATTATTCAAAAGGCCTATTGTTAAATCAATATAAATACAGTTTATGCGGTGAGTTCAAATTACTGAGTTGTCCTCTTATGTTCCTCAGCTGCTAAAAACTAACTGAACACTAGGGGGAGGAAATTCAACTGGACCCTCTAAACATTGCTTTAATCTAAAATGACTTTGTTGTCATTGTTGAATATGTTTCAACCTGTATATCCAACCACATCACTGTGTCACCCATTACATTTTTAGTGATGTTGTGGACTCCTCCTCAAAGCACTTATTGAGTTATGAGAAAACTCAACTTGGTAGGGAGCAAAAGCTTTACAAATTCTTAACCTTTTGTAAATTTTAATAACTTAGGTTGTAGATATTACATAAAAATAATTTAAAACACAAATACATATTTAAGTTTAGCCAAATTACGTTATATAGCTTGTATATTATACAGAATATATTCTTATTTCTGATTTTATGGCAAATGAGAATTGCAACATAAATGAGAGCATCAATTGCTTTCCATGTTTAACAGAAAAGAAGTCCATATTTATTGTGACTAGATAATTTTATTGGGTAATTGGGGGAAGGGAACAGACAAGTTGCTGTCCTTTTGTTCTTCAGTGTAGTTGTGGAGGACGTCACTTCACTGGCCCATGTTGGTATTATCATTGCGCTCTTCCTGGGTGAGGTAGATCGGTCACTGGCCACTAGTTGGCCATTCACAGTGGCTCACGGCAGCTCATGAAAGCACATTCCAACTGCTGGCCATCCCCACTGCAGCCTATGCCATCACAGGCAACTCACGGCAGCCCAACTCCAGGTCAAGCTATTGTTCACCATCTTAGCTGTAGAGGGCACAGCGTCACTGGCCCTAATGTGGAATCCGAACCGGGGTCCTGCTGCTCAGAGCTGGCATCCCAAGCCAACTCTTAACCAACACGCCACTTGGCCAGCCCTGTATGTGGATTTTTTTCTTCCAAAGGCTTCACATTGTTTAGCCTTACAACAACCTTAGGATGAAAGATTAGTTAGCATTACCCCCTTTTTACAGCCGTTTTTATAGCTAAAGACATCTTCAAATAGATATTCATTTATTAGAATCATGGAATGGAATGATGAAACTATACTAATGTACTAGTTTCTACCAGAAATGGGAGTAATTGGATCAAAGTTTGGAAAGAGCTCCCTTGCAGAGAATACTTTTTTTTTTATTTTTATCTTTTTCCTTATGGTCTAATACCCTATCTTGTGTGTGCTATATAAAAATCTTTTTTAGTTACTGGACTAGAACATTTAGCTAGTTTTTTACATTCTCTTGTAAAAATTCATATTTATTCCTGGTAATCAGTGAATCACTTTGACACATTTGCTTCCTTTTCCAGATGCCTAAGCATAAAGGTAGAGAGAAAATGGTTAGGGCACTCTGAAAAACAGAACTTCCTAGGCCTTACGTTTTCCCCTTTCCTTCCTAGACAAAATCTAATATAATAACCATCCATATACTTAAAGTTTTCCTTATGTCCAGATAAATTTCAGGTTAATTGTTGAAATTCTATGGCTTCTATTTGCTCTTTCATTTTTATTTTTGGTATTTGCATGTTTCTTTTTTAAATTAAATTTATTGGGCCTTCTACTCTCTTTGTAGTCAATCATATCAATTTTAATTTAAAGGAGTATTTTAAAATTTAATTCTTAAGTCAGCATTTTGTTTTGTGCTTGCCTACAAATATTTTCCTCAGATCTGAATCTTTGCTTATTGTTGATATAAAGAAAAATGTTGTTGAGTCTGTGTTTATTAACCTTTCAAGGGTAGTATTTTAACATTTCTGGACTAGTTGAAGTTTTGCTAAAGAAGGCCTAGGCTTTATGTATCAATATGCAGATAAACCTTTCTTCTGTGCATAGGATCAGCACAAGAATTTAAGTAATCATAACAAATGGAGAACTTACATAGTTCTGTATATTAATTTATTTTATCCTCATAACTCTATGAGGGCAGGTACTATTATTATAATACCTATTTTGCCAATGAGAAAATGGACACATAGGGGAAGTTAAGTAGTTGCCTAAGGCCAACACGGTTTAGTAACAGATGGAGCTGGGATTCAAACAAGGAAGTCTTGTTTCCATGTGTATATGCATAATCACTATGTTATATGGCTTTTCAATAGCTCAAGATTTCAGCCACAGATTAAATATAAATCATCAATTAAAAGACATACTGTTCCTATGGTAATGTTTACCCCTTAGTATTCAAGTTTGGGTCTGAAAAAAAATTATTTTGGCTTTTCGCCCCATGACCTTTGAAAACTATATCATTACTAACTATACTATTAACCTCTGCTCTTGGGTATGATACTCCTTTCATTCTTTATAATTTCTCACTCATCAATGAACCTTTGCGTCTCTACTATACTGTACGCATTGTTCTAAGTAAAGAAATTATACAGATGACCACATTTATTTAATATCCAGTCTTGTCCCAAAAAGGATTTGAGGTGAACTAAGATCTCTAGTGGAGATTTTTATATACATAATTACAATATGGTAAAAGTTTGCAAATAGAAGTATTTCACAAAGAACTTGACCATTGGTCATAGTCCTAAAGTTAACCAGGAGGTAAGCTGGGCAATGACAGAGAGAGGGAATGTTACGTAAAGGCAGGAAGATACAAAACAGCAGGAGATGTGGTTTGGTGTGGCTGAAGAAAAGGGTAATTTTCTTGTAGTATAGAGTACAAGTGGGAGAAGGTGAGGTTGAAACATGTAGGCAGAGGCTCTCCTGTAGCATGGTTTCTTTACTCTTTCAAAATCTGCCTTACATAAAACATTATTTATTGTTTTTAGAAGAAAATCAAAGAAATGAATTTAGAAGAAAAAAGCTTGGACAAATTTCCAGCAGTCTCGGGAACCTCAAAAATACCCAGTGCATTCTTACCTAAAGAAGAACCCAAGTTGCCAGAAATCAGACAGGGAGGCCAATTTGCCAACAGCTTTAACAAAATGCAAGATGTTTTGTTAAAAAGTCCTGCAAGAGAGACTAGAATGACTATGGAGACACTGAAGAAAATTCAGATTGATAGGTAAGGAAGGCAAGCATATTTGGAAATGTAATAATGTATTTCTGGATGAATGAAGAATGGGTACAAGGGTGGCTGACTGCTCTCTTCTCTTATGGATTAGTTATTATGTCCAAAGTGACTGCTGATAATAGGATTAGCTAAAGACTGCCTAGAGACGAAGTGCGGTACAATTGAAAATATGGTGACTTTATGATCTTGGACAGCTTTCTGTTTTTAAAAATGAGAATGATAGCAACTTTCAACTTTAGTGTGAGGATTAGAAATATGGCTTCAGTCAAGTGCCTGGAAAAATTAGTAGCTAATAAGATGCTTTACCCATTAATAAGAGACACCATCAAATTAGCCAAATTTTAAGCTATGTTTTAATCTTGGTGGTTTTTTAAAGGTAGTCTCAATTTCCATTGTCTCATTATTCAGTTTTTTTGTTGTCAATTAACTTGCTGACAAAAAAGCCTGTTAAGTTTAAAAGAGGGTATAACATTATGGTAAGGATTTTTGGTAAATGAGAGTTTATAGCAATTACTGAGGGTCACTTGCCAAATCTGGCTGTAGTTTGTTTCTGAAAATAAATTTTGTTGCAAGATAGCATTGCCCACTTGTTTACATATTGTCTATGGCTGCTTCCATGCTATAACAGCAGAGTTGAGTTGCAAAGCCAAAAATACTTACTGTCTGTCCCTTTACAGAAAAAGTTTGCTGACCTCTTCATTAGACCCTAACCAGAAGAGTAATGTCTCTTACTAAAATCAGTCTGGTCCAGATTTGCATACATGACAGAAAGGTGTCCTGTTTATAAACTGCCTGATCTAGTTAACTTAACTTCCTTTTCATTCTCAGT